AAAACGTAGGGCTAGTTGTCTGAAGCGCCATCATGACGCATCGCAAACAAAGATAAAACGTTGACATTGTCGCCACAGCATGCTTTAATTATAGACATTATGTCGCCAAAAAGACAAGTTGATGACACTATTTTTTCTGGGTGTAAAACTTCTAATGTCACTGAGTATATTATTAACCTTTTTGCAGCTGTCCTGAACAGATACTCTGGTATCGAAATGGAGAAGAGTAGCATAACACATCGTTCACCACTGCTAACGTGGCGTGCTTTGTGTAGGCAAAGTCGGCGCGCGCAGCTCCCACTTGATTCAAAGCCACGTTACGCCACGTTTGCGGTGGTGTACGATGTGTTTTAACTCTCTTCCGTTTTGGTACCAGACTGTACTACTTTGCCTTGGAACATCATGTACATATACGAGGTTGCTTTATTATATGTTTGGCGTATCCGTGTTTTCTCTTTTTGGGCTTTATGACTTTTATTCTTTATTTAATCTTCTTGGAACTATATTATTAGTGACCATATATTTATGTCCAGACAATTCTGACAATTTATTTATAGACCTACATGACAAATGTTTCCAGGTTTTGGCTTGTGGTATCTGTTAGCGTTCAACAAGGCAGTTACGTTTCTACCTACGTGATTGATTCTTTATAAAAAACCCAATATTCTTCGCTACACAATAGTATGAAACATCTGTAGCATCCAGTTTGGGCCATAAATTTAACATTAAAATGGCAGCATGAATCGAAAATCGGTCTGTACTCTAATCTCTACACCACCACCGGCTTTTATAAGTGGTGTTGCAACGGCCAAATCAAGCTTCAGAAGTCGGAATTGAAACTATCGAGTTGAGCGGAATCGATTCCTTCAATTCCCTATGCGGTGTCGTTCCTTTACAGAATAATCCAGCTCTACTCAGTGGGTTTAATTTTAGTTTTGGTCGTAATTTCTCATGGGTTTTCTCAGTACTCGTTGAATCTCAGCAGATGATGCTTTAGTTTTACGTTCTACATCACCTCGTATGGATGATCTCACTGTAAGTTGATGAGGTGTCTCAAGTAGGTGCTCTGGTCGACTTCTTCAAGTTCCTTGATGATTATTGATCGTCTAGTAATGCCATTGTTCTTATTATAAGAATAACATAATTTTAGAATATATGAATTCCTCGTCCAATGGAGGCGTAGTCTCAATGCCGTCTCTGTACCATCTCACTCCTTCTCCGTTCTTCGAGATCCTCTTCTTCACGGTGCTGGCGGTAACATGTCCGCCGACCGCAACAAACACACGCCGCTCTTCGCGTATCGCGGTTGGCCGATCATCGCGATTGTTTTCGTCTTCGCGCCGCGATCTTCTGTTTAGCCGGACGCCCACTAGACCGGAACCGGTAGCATCGAAAGTGTCACTTTTTGGGACTTAACGTGCTAGGACCGTTACTTAATAAGGTCAGTTGGTGGCTTTTTCTTGATTGCGATGGTGATGGTTATGGTTGTATGAGCTTTTATTATTTGGATATTTGGTTTATGTAAAATTGGGGATTGTGCTGCAAGTGATATGAAATTTTTTCTGCACTATAAACAATTTTTTACAGTTAAATAATTTATAACAACTTTAACATTTTTCATCATTGTATTTGTATGTAATTCCATTTAAATATATTTTTATGTGGTTATCGTACAACACATACCACAATATCATTTATTCCAGATATGAGTGTTTATGAATAATGATAGCTTTAATCCGGGGCTATGATGAATAGAACTGACAATAAATCAGTTGACAGTGAAACTGTGTACCAAGACTTGACAGGAGTGACAGACTTTGACGTTGATAGGCAATTCAACAGGAATCACTTCTTTACCAACACGTTACATCCAAAATATGTATTTTCATAGTGTCTATGGTTTTCTATTTGAGCTAAAACCATTTTTGCTTTGGCATTTATGAGATGTGTGAAAGAACAGAAGTATTTAAGCTATCAGGGTTTGTTCGTATCACAGATGCTAATATACGGAGCATTTCATCAAATTTTAACATACAGTTTCACGTTCGTTAATAGACATTTGATAGGCCACTAATTGCACAGCTTTGTGTTGAACTAAAAAAACTCCCCTTTTAATCTCTTAACGTCTTTTTGCGCACACCCATTTGAAACTTTAGAATAGTCGCGTTACTGTTTTTCCCAAAAATTAAGCAGCTTAATATGACAACTAACAATAAATGATGTTCCAAATGGAACTTTATCGAATTGAATTAAATTCGTCAAAGTTGAAAACTATTCGAATAGCAATTTATGATCGCGCCTCAATTTTTTAGGGCCGTTTTACGCCTTAATGGCCTCATTGATTTTCATAGTTTTCTACTGTTCCGTGTCAGCGATCTTTTTTGAGGTTATAAATATCTATTTGTATCAAATTTTAATGCTTTTCATCTGTATCAACTGTTATATCAGCCTGAAATTTCTTACAATTCAAAGAGGTAACAAAGCTTCACAATAGGAGAGCGCTGACGCTGACATGGAGCAACAGAAATCTAGAAATACCGCAGCATTGCTGAAGGAGAGAAAAGAATATGAAAATCAAGGAGGCCATACTGACGGTACTATCCTTAGTCATTGCTAGGAAACTTGTACGTTAGTACGAAAAAGTATAAACAAGCTAAGATCATATGTTCAACCGCACGACTGATTGAAAAGTGGTCACACATGCATAGTAACAGAGCGATAGAGTCAGAAACAGACATATGCTGACATCAACAAGCAGAATAGTGGCTTATATCTATTAATTTAGATAACCAGCGACACACTAGATTAGAAAACAGTTTTATTGATTAATGCTAGAAACACTTCGCCTAGTTTACATCTTTATCTGTATGGGATCGAACATATAGAATTAGCAGGAAAATAAAAATAACCAGATCGAGATATGGGACAGCAGAACGTCAGATACTAAATAGACTGACAGACAGATAAACGATTGCCTGGGTATTCAAAACGAGATGAGCCAAATTATTAAGATCATTGATGGGTAGAATTCCATGATTTTCATGCCAAATGGGACCACCTATTACTACCTATTACATTTCTTTTAAATGACGTTTCGCCCACCACGGAGGCCTGTTTACCCGACTGTATCAGGAGGGATATGTTAACCACAAGTGGGCATGTATCTATCTATGTATCTAAAAAATTCTCCTTAGCAGTGCGAGTGGCACTGGCTATATTAAAATTTTATAAAAACAGAAAGGTGGATTTTAATAAACAAATCAGCCTTGACCGATTTTACAGGCTACAGCTTAAACGGCTTGATATATTTTGACGTTGACGTGTCTCTAGGTTTGCTTTGTCAGTGCAAGTGATACCGAGTATGATAAATTTTGATCAAATTTTTAAATATGTAATTTCTATTTCATGGGTTACAGCTTGGACGACTTGAAGCATTTTGACCGTCAGGTGTCTCTAGATTTGTTTTGTCTTGAAATGGAGGACTTGAAATTCAAACTTCTTTCTATTTCACAAGCTACAGCCCCTTTCAGTTTCTGCAATAAGGCTTTATGTATTTTTTTAAAGAAAGCACTTGTTTAAAATTTATCTCAACCTAAAAGTTACTTATACGTATAGGGTGAGTTTGTAGAGCGGGTACGGTCGAGAACTCCGTTATTACGCATAGTATCTAAAAAAGTTAATTACAAAAGCTGTATGCTCCTTACTTATTGAAATGTTTTTATTTCTGGATCGATACAAAACTACGTGGAGACCTAAACATTCATTTTTTTTAAATAGGAAAACCTTCATTTTATTGCAGATTCGGTTAGCTCCTTTCAAACGAAGCAATTGGATGTAAACACACCTCCACAGCTCTTTCATCTAGACTACTGAATTTTTCGCCAGAAATATTTTATAATACAAAATTTTCTTCCTATTTAATTACTGTTTCACTTTTTTCGATAGACTATACAGGGTGGTCAAGGACGGAAAATGAACGATTTCTTAAAAGTGTCAAATAGAATACCCTGTATATTTTCACATTCCTTGCTTCGAATTTTCATACGTTTTTTCGATATAAGGTTAAGTTTGTACGGATGGTTTTTGACTTACCGTTAAAATCTTTGTAAATCGGATATCAAGATAAATGGAACATGTCTTTCTAATTAAAAATATCAACTTGTGTATTTTCATTATAAATTAAATCTCCCTAACCTTATGCAATAAATTCGGAAATCCAAGGAGGTGTCCCCGTGTTTTTAAACCAGTTGTACCAACTCCGATAAGCCTCATATCAGAAAGAGCCTGTGGAAAGAAGTGTTGTATTTGAAAATTTTGAGAAATCATTCATTTTGCCGTTACAGACTAACCAAAAATTAAAAAAGTAAGTAGATAGGAAGAAAATATAGGCTTATTAAGTTTTTCTGATGATAAAATCTGTTCTCTAGCTATAACATTTGCGGAGGTGTGAATCATCAAAGTGGAGTGTTTTTTTGATAGATTGCCTAATAACTATATCAAATTGCTTCGTTTTTGGGGCCACTAGTCATGTGCATGTGGCTTATGAATGGGTTGCAAATCAAAGTGTTTAGCATACACAAAGAAAGGACGATTGCACGTTTTAATAAGCAAAAAGAAAAACTCTCTACTCATTTTGGACTTTGTGAAAATTTTTAAAGCTGAAACCTAAAAAAATATTAAAGCAACTTCATCTCAGGTTTTCGGTTAAAGGCGTGTTATATTTTAATGACAAAAGGCAACAAAGGTGTACCATGATTTGATTTGAAAACTTGAGACGAATGAGCTTCATAATCAATTAAAAATGATTTTTTTTACTTCACCACCGACTCATATCAATTCTAACCAGGTGCAATGGAGGAAATGGGGTTTGACAAATTACATCAACACTTAGATTATAATTGACCTTGTTTCCAAATAAAACTTAAATATTTTGATATTCCTGATCAATTATTGTTTAGAAGCAATTTGGTTTGTCACATATATAACTTTTAGGAAACTACAGTTCTGTAGCGCTCAATGTCAGACTTCGTCCATTTCAAAATAGCTGCCGAATAGAGCTGTAGCTCCTTGAATGCATCCATGAATTCAAAAGAATATCCTTCTCTGTTGAACGAGTTTTCAATCGACTCCATAGCAATTATACAACAATAAAGAAAGGTGAAAGCACAGAAATGATTTATCACAATACTAAAAATTAATATCATTCAAATTCAACCAGAGCTCACAGCAATCAAACTATAGCCACGTCCTCCCGTAGCCATACACAACTACCATAGTTAATGGCGATTTTAACAGTAGATAATTGTAGCATTTTTATAAATTTAGGGTCTGATTATTCCAAAACCAGGTCACCGCTAGAGAAACAAAAGAAAACTACTGCGTTTAAGTCCGGTCAAACTGAGTATGATGTGTGAGTATAACGAGCTTTATTAACATGGTAATAACAATAACGCTAAGTGTTTGTGAATCTCACCGCTCGTAATCCTAATATAATTAGACAGATGTGAAATCTTCTGCATCTGATATGAGGCGTTAGAAATGCATACGATAAATAATTAGTGTTGTTGTTCAATTACCACATTTGTTTTTTTTATCCAGGAGTTAAAAATGGCACTTGGCACATAAATCCGCTTTTCTTACAAATTAATAATACATGCTGTTTCCAAACCGACATGCAAAAGTTTGGCAATAGTTTTTTTGACTATAAAATCGCTTCATTCCAAAGTGATAGGTCTTAATTTACAAAATTCACTCGAAATGTTCATGTACAGCTGTAGTCTCGTTTCATATCCCAAAAACTCTAAGTACATCAAGGGCATTCCTTAAATAATTCCGTTTAAGAGTTCTGCGGATTGACCTAATCTTCCACATTTTCTATTGCAGGAGTGTGAACTAATAGCTTCATATGGCCCTACAAGATGTTTAGATCCAAACTATATATGAAGTCCTTCTCGACCTTCAACAATGTCAGGAGTGTTTCTGTTGAAACTTCACAAGTTACGATTGTATCCGACTCAAAGGCTAAGACGGAAATGTTTGTCAATATCTCTGCTGCCAACTCCTCCATGCAGTGCCGTCGATTCAAAAAGTTCCTTACACTATGCGTCAAGTAACCGTAAGATCGTAAGACGGGTGCTCTTGTCGTTCGACATCAACAAAACTTTCGGTCTGGACTTAATTTCGGCTGCTGTACTGAAAAGATGTGCAAGCGAGCTTACTCCAGTTTTTTTACGACTCCTCGAGATATCTTACAAATCCGGCACTTTCCCAGAAAACAGAAAATTCGATCATGTCCAACCGATCCAAAAAAAAAAAGGATCTTAGACCAACCCTTACAACTACTTCTTTCCTCTGCCTTCTGTTTTAAGTAAGGCGATGAAGAGGGGCATAAATATGGAGCTTCTAGAGTACCTCGAACGTCACGGCTTGATTAGCGACAGGCAGTATGGTTTCTGGGTCCAGCGATCCAAAAGGGACCTCCTAGCTTACGTCACAGATTCTACATCTGACAATGTCAATGCCGGTGTTCCCCAGGGATCGGTGTTGGCTCCAATAATGTTCCTCTTAAATACGAACGACCTTTCCTGTACGATCAATCCGATCCACAGTTTTACTGATGATAGCATGCAAATCCAGAATGACAAGCCGATCTCTGTCGGTGAGAAAAGGAGACTAGCAGCGACTGGGGGTTATCACTGCTTGGGGACGCAATAATCTTGTACAGTTTAATGCTTCCAAAATGCAGTACTGCACCTTGACTAACAAAAAGAGCCCCAGCGCTCATCCGGGTTCGATGGATGGACAAGTTCTACCAAAGAGACACTCTGGGGAAAAGAAAGTCTATTTGTTCAGAGCTAAGAAGTACTTTTCTCCACATGACCTCCAAACTCTGTACAAGGACCAGATAAGACCTATCCTCGAGTACTGCTCACATGTTTGGGGTGCTGACTACGCTATCCATGCTCAACGCTGTTCACAGGAGGGTGTCCGACTGCTCGATGACTCTTCTTTAACTGACAGTCCCGGGACCCCTTCGCACTGACGGGTCGTCGGAGATCTAGCTTCTACCGCCTGCCAGACCGACCCGCCTGAGTTCGACATCCCATCCCAACTGTGTCGATCTTCGAACATCCAAAACCGGCGAGTAGACCGCCCCTTTGTCGCTAGGGTATCGAGATTGTGAACCAATCTACCTTTGGATGCTTTTCCCAATTTTACTAAACATAGGCAGTTCAAAAATCGGATTAACAAAGTTTTTTTAAGTTCTTCATAGCCCTAATATTTAGGCTTCTGCCTGTGCGGCTACTTCGATATATAAAAAAGCTACTGTTGGAGTTGATGGGTTTAACCTATTCCTGCATTCCAGCTAAGGAAGCTAGTCATTTTGAATGATTTGCTCTAGAATGAGGAGATGCATTGCTAATGCTATTTATGTAATCGTCAAAAGTGAATAAAAATCTAAGATCTAAGAATCTGTAGTTGAATGTTTAAGAGAACATACTGTATAAATTCTTGTTCAAGCGACCCTGAAACGGGCTTGATAAACACAACAAGAGGTATTATTTACATGTCATTAGCTCTAACGGCTAAATATTTGTGGAGAATGTGCTCTATGTACGGCTACATGCAGTCATGTCTATCCAGCGGGCTAGAAATTCGTGGAGATCCATTGTCTCAGAACTAACTAAAGTTTGTCATATATTTTCCTAAACCTCCTGAAATAAAGATCCTGATGTTAACAGCGATGATAGTATTTTGTTAATGCATACGATTAATTTGTGACAAGACATACATTACCTATTTAATAGGCCTTCTCAAAAAGCTAAAATAACTGAACGTTAACAACATCCCAAAAAAAGCAAATATTGTCACTATATGGTATGTCACTTTATGGTACAGGAAGAAAAGACAGTATGCTGGTATACCCTCTATACACATTTACAGTTTCCGTAATAATAATAATCTGTTATTGTCCAATTGTTGAACACATGACATTTTATGCTTATACAGATGTCTCCATTATTTAGTTTGTTATGAGGTTCGCATTTTGCTTCGTTTGAAATGTTTTATTAAACATATGGATAGTCATTTTAATGATGATTAATGTTGCTATTGTCGTTACTTGTTGATATCTAGTAGTGTTCTCCACTCTCATCGACTTTTAGACTATCCAGGCTCTTCTTGTTACAAGTGTGTTCTGCTTCATTTTTCTCTGTCATTCTGAGTTTCACTGGGAAAACTATTGCAAATTGTTTAGCACTTGGTGGACTACTTGTGCTTGAAGAAATGTACGGTGTACGAGGAGGTAATGAGTCACAGCTTCAAAAGGGTTCCCAGTTTGTATTATTTCTTTAACTTCAACGCTTCTGTGCATCTACGAGATACTTGAAATTAGTTGAGTTGACAAGCAAACAAATTGATAACATCGTCAGGAACATCATCCAAATAAGTTGCCAAGAACTGACAATCAGCCTGCACTAGTTGATTGAATGAATCTTGAAATTAGAGGCATTCCGGCCACCATAAGGAGCCGGTGCATAGGCCGCTTAAGCGGGCCCTTATGCACCTCTACAATCCTTAGATCACAAGCGTCGCCCTTTTAGCGAAGTTGAGAATCGCCTTGAGTCCAAGCTCCTTGTCATCCTGAGGGTCCAAAGTAATGGACCCCAGTATAGTCTGCCTATAGTAGCTCAGAGCTTCACAGCGACACAAAACGTGCGCCGAGGTTTCTTCCTCTACCCCGCAGCGTTCACACAAGGGATCCTCAGCCACCCTCATCACGTGCAGGTGACGCCTTAACGTGTTATGGCCAGACAACAGTCCCACCAGCAACCTGGCTCTATCCAGAGATAGGCAGAAGCGTCCATCCTTAGCACTGGGCCCTTCAATGAGTTCCCGTGCCTGGCGGAGATCCTGCACTAGTTTGTTACTATCCTATGCCGACACAGGCATTGCAAACAGTGGCAGTGCTAGGCCATATTATTATATGGATGTCGGCCACAACAGTTTTGCGAGTCCCCTTCCATTTCCAAGAAAAAAACGTTAATTGAACGTGCTGACACTTAGTAGTCTATGAGTTTTATTACTAATTAAATGATTATAGAAATTGAATGTACGAACACAAATTGAAATAGATTATTCTTTCTGCTTTTAGAAGCTTTTATCAGAAGAGGCTGTACTGACTGGAACTGTGAGCATGGTTTTGATTGTTATCTAAACACTTGGATATACTTCTTCCCAATCCTTTTCTAAAATGTGCTGAATATGTTGCCTTGTGTCATCGACTGAATCTGAGGAATTTGAGTTTAAAAGCTGGAGTTATTCAAATGGTTCAAAAGGCTGTACGTCGCTGTTCTCACCTTTCCGAAGTATTGTACCTAAGTCATAGCAATGTTTGACAAGGTCCTCCTTTGATATCAATTTCAAGAGCACATATCCTCTTGAAATTATGACATTAATTCCAGATCACGGACATCTGAAATATGAGGTAATATCATTGTTTAAAATAGAGTCCTCACAATTAAGGAATGGATCTCAGGAAAGGAATATGTTTTAGAAACAAAACATATCACAGTAAACTAAATATAAATAGGTTTGATCTAAACGTTCTTTTTTTAGTGTGTATGCAAACCTCTTATGGACATTTTTGCTTTTACATTTCCACAGCACATTTAACTTTCTTTGTTGTTTTGTAGTTTCTGCTTGTTTGATTTTGTTGTAAGTTTGTGTAGTCTTGAATTTGTAGTTTTGAATAGAAAGGAACTAAATATGCAGGAATGAATTGACTTTCACAGTCGCTGGCCAAAGGCTCCTTATCGCTGAGCTCCATTCTTCTACAAAAGAAAAAATGGCGTCAAGTGTTGACTCTGCACTTCAAATTCAAATCATCTGAGAAAAAATTGAGTTACGGACGTGTACAACCCAGAAATTAAACGTATTAAGACAGTCAAACAGCCTTATAAACTTAGTCCATAGACACTCTTCCGCTGCCCTACTGGTAGTTACAGACTATGTGTCAGCGTTGTTCTTCTCCAAATCTGCGCGGCGTCGCAGCTGATCTTTCGTCTTGTGCAAGGTACGTTTTTTGCGCTTCAGTACGAATACATATACTTATAAACTGGACTTGTTTGCCAAGCGGTGCGCTTAGACAGGCAGGAGTACGCGGATCGAAAACATTTCTCTATTAT